AAAAAAAAAAAAGAATGGTGCAAGGAAAGCTCAGATGGAATAAATTACTTAAACTTGAAAAAATGCTGCTGTGTATCAGAAGAGTTTATATCTCTAGGGATGAACTAAATTACTTTCCAAAGTTAGAAAAGAGCTGGCAAAAGTGATCACAAAATATTAAGTAGGATTAATATTAGCAACCTTTAAGAAATTACAGAGAACAATAACGCCAGCTTTTCAAAAAAGGGGAGGAAAAGTGATTTAAAATAGGTAAATTTAACGTCAATCCCAGATAATGACAATAACTGTATACTGGATTTTAAGAAGGTGACTTGTGAACACAAAGGAAAAGATGTAGTCATTACATAAATCATTAGGAACTAATGTAGTTCACTAAGAATAAGTCATCTGTAAGACAATTTTACAAGGTCGTGAGAATAAAGCAATACATATAAAGTACTTAGTACATGCTTGGCACTTAGGATGACAACGATAATGAGATAAAAGGAGCTGGGAAGTCACTGAAGGTTTCCTGGGGAAGAAACTTGATCTAAAACTTGCAAGAATGAAAGAAACTAGGTAAATAAGAATGAAATCAGAAAAGACAATAGGAAAGTGCATGATATATTTTCAATAAACCACTTTTTTAATGGAAAAGAGGGAGGAAAGTGGGAGAGATAAAAAACAAAACAAAACAAGTTATAAGGGGTTATAGTGTAAAAAGCCTTGCACATCCGCCTAAGAAAAATTAATAGAGGTTTTTGAGTTCGAAGCTGATGATGTATAACAATCTTGAAAATTTAACTTTTCAATTTTCTAAATTTAATGATGCCAATGACAGGAAATGGGTGTAAGCATTTTATAAAGTATAAAATGCTTTATAAATAGGTTGATCCTGAAGTTACTATAGCATCAAAAAATAATAATGGTCTATGCAATACAGCATCCCTTAACCTCTCCCCTGCTAGTGGGGAATAAAACAAAAAATGAAAAGGGGGAAAAAAAGAGATCAAAAAGAAAAAGCTGTGTACCTACAGTGAAGTGGCAAAGTGTCACCAATGACAGTCCTAGATTGCCTACCTCCCCTATCCTGGGGATAATAAGTATTAAAATGCTTACCAATAAGAAGACTTTTTAGCCTTCTGTAGTCTTCTGTTACATCAAAATCATCACCAGCAAATATTAACATGGGTTTTGTTCCCTCGGGACATTTACTATTCTATGAAATGGAAAAAAAATTATAATGATATAATTATCAATTCTAAACCATTTATAAGCTGGTTTTAAAGTAGTCAATACTTACATACAGTGATTAGTTCTCATATTTTGACTGTCCTAAAACTATGTTTATGAATATTGATTAAAATCTAAAGACTTGGGGTGCCTGGGTGGCTCAGTCAGTTAATCATCTGCCTTCAGCTCAGGTCATGATCCCAGGGTCCCTGCTCGGTGGGGAGTCTGCTTCTCCCTCTACCCCTACCCACTGCTCATGAACTCTCGGTCTCTCAGATAAATAAAATCTTAAAAAAAAAAAAAAATTAAGACTTAAAACTACAGTTGCAACTTTTAAATTAAAATACAGTTTTTTGTTTCATTCCCTCACATTGTCAAATAAGTGGTCAAAGAATGATTCAAAGAATAAAATAAAAAGCTAAAATTGCTGCTAAACATACATAGCCCTTTAACAGCCAGCATCTCAGAGTCTAAACAAAGTTAATTTCTTTGAATTATTTACTACCACTGTACCTTTACCTACTGTATCACATAGACAGTATTTTAGGAGTGCTTGGGTGGCTCAGTCTGTTAAGCAGCTGAGGTCATGATCCTGGGGTCCTGGGATCGAGCCCCACGTCGGGCTCAGTGGGGAGTCTGCTTCTCCCTCTCCCTTTGCCCCTCCTCCCTCTTGGTGCATGCGTGCATGCTTCTCTTTCTCTCTCACTTGCTCTCTCAAATAAATTTTTAAAAATCTTTAATAAACAGTATTTTTAAATGAAAGCTTATCTAAACTACCAACTAAACAGGGGCGCCTGGGTGGCTCAGTCGTTAAGCGTCTGCCTTCGGCTCAGGTCATGATCCCAGGGTCCTGGGATCGAGCCCCGCACCAGGCTCCCTGCTCCGTGGGAAGCCTGCTTCTCCCTCTCCCACTCCCCCCTGCTTATGTTCCCTCTCTCGCTGTGTCTCTATCAAATAAAAAAAAAATCTTAAAAAAAAAACAAAAAACTACCAACTAAATATTCACATGAGAAGCAAGAGAATTTTATACAAGCTATAGAAAGTATGAGCAAACCTTACTCGGCATGATTGAAGCTCTTACTATAAAAGTATTTTGTCCTGTTTTGGATTTTTTTTTTTTTTAAAGATTTTTTTATTTATTTATTTGACAGAGACAGAGACAGCGAGAGCAGGAACACAAGCAGGGGGAGTCGGAGAGGGAGAAGCAGGCTTCCTGCTGAGCAGGGAGCCCGATGTGGGACTTGATCCCAGGACCCTGGGATCATGACCTGAGCCGAAGGCAGTCGCTTAACCAACGGAGCCACCCAGGCGCCCTAGATTTTTTTTATACAAAGAATAACATGATGTGAATAATAAGAATCTTTAAAAGCCACAAAAATAAAAGAAGAAAAAATCTAACAAAAAAATTCTTTAACTGAATGATTAATTTCTGAAGGCAAACGGGTGTTAGTCTGAGCTTTCCGTTGATTCTAGCACCTCTACTCTGGTTCCAATCAAGGACTGTACAAATCTAGAAATAAACAAACAAACAAACAAAACTGGACAAGAAAACAAACATCCTGTGCCCTAGGACCAGAGGTCACGTTGCTTCCCTGTTCACCATGACCACTTTTGTTGACACACTCTGCTTCCAAACTCTGAACCTTAACTGTCTATACTTAGGAGGTGTGCCTAAGATCTGTCTGCGTGATCTAGGGCCTGAAGGGACCTACCAGACCCAATGACTCTTCCACTTACTGTCTGTGCCGACCTGACCCTGCTACTTCTACCCCTATGTCTATGGGGGCTGTTTAAGTATACAGAAGGTAGGAGAAAGTGATGCAATATCCTCACCACAATGCATAGTAATAAAAAAAATAACGTTAAGTCATGACCCGGTATACACATCATAAAAATACAACTGAACGAGGGGGCGCCTGGGGAGCTCAGTAGGTTAAGCATCTGCCTTCTGTTCAGGTTATGATCCCAGGGTCCTGGGATGGAGCCCCATGTCGGGCTCCCCACTCAGCAGAGAGCCTGCTTTTCCCTCTCCTTCTGCCCCTTCCCCCTCCTGCTCATGCTCTCTGTCTCTCACTCGCTCACTCTAGCTCTATATCTCAAATAAATAAATAAATAAAATCTTTAAAAAGATATGTAACTGAACAAGTTATATGAAACAGTACTTAACATTTAGATCACTGATATTTTTCACAATGTGAAAACCCAGAACTAGAAGAAACTATAACAGATGAGCTTTATTTGAATAGTATAAGACACTAAAAATTCAAATACTATATAAGTACTACGATTATAGTATACTAAAACATCATAATTATGTGACATCCTTGAACTAACCTTCTGAATTTTTTTTTTTTTTTAAGATTTATTTATTTGAGAAAGAGAGCAGAGAGAAAGAGCGTGAGCCCAGGGAGGGGCAAAGGGAGAGAGACACTTTAGCAGACTCTGCGCTGAGTACAGAGCCCGATGCAGGGCTCAATCTTATGACCCTGAGAGATTATAACCTGAGCTGAAACCAAGAGTTGGACGCTTAACCTACTGCACTACTCAGGGGCCCCTGAATTAAGTTTTGTTTTATTTTGTTTTTAAACAAAGGGAAAAAATTCTTACAAATCATATACAAACTTCCCATACAAAATATCCCCAGGCAACTGCAATGTATCTTATCCTATCTAAAATAAAACCAACTAGCCTTAAATTTTAATCATCTCATTCATTAAGGCTTATTTTACATAAAATAACCATCCCTAGAAGTTTGGCCACATCTTAGAAAATAGACTCCTACAATAATCACTCAATTTCCTGGTAGAATCGAATCACTTGTTGCTTGAGAGTAAACAAAAGGATGAGGCTTGGCTTGGTAATAAAAGTAGGCAAGTGAGAAAAGAAATACTGGTGAAAAAGTCTTAAAAATAAAGAGGTAGATGTAAAAAGGAAATAAATATGAAAAGAAAGTATAACAAACATGCAATTCCAAAACAAACTAAAAATAGAAGGTTATAATGGAATAATGAAGTAAAAGTAAGGTCCGGTTAATAGTCTGTGGGGGGGGTGGGGGGCGCCTGGGTGGCTCAGTCAGTTGAGCGTCTGCCTTTCACTCAGGAGGTCATGATCCCAGGGTCCTGGGTTTGAGCCCCACGTCCAGCTCCCTGCTCAGCGGGAAGCCTGCTTCTCCCTCTCCCCCTCCCC